TTTCAAGTGATTTAATAAAGTATTTATAATCAGAAAAAAACAAAACAGAAAAAAGATTAACTGGCTAGACATGCTTGGGACTTTGATCTGAATTTGTGCATTTTTGATAATGCTATTGTTATCAATTAGTGTTGGCAGATTTTTTTCCAGCTATACGGGACAAACGCATAATTTGCCCCAATTATGTACGTAGACATATAATTGACCAAACCATAAAAAACAAATTAAAAGTAATAGCAGCAAAATTTAAAATGATGTTGGCAACTTATCTTTATTTATTTATTATTTTATATAAATAAAAGTTTCAAAGCTTGCACAAAGTTAACAAAAACTAATTAAACTTAAAAAAATATTCATCAAAATTTCGATTTTTGATTAGATTCCCTAGAAAGAATTTGAGTATGCAGTTTTATATCCCATTCGATTTTAGTATAATAAAGTACAAGTTCCAAGTTGCTAAAAATTACCATTGTTTTTTTTTGATTTTTTTTTTTTCAATTCTGCCAATTCCTGAAGGGATTTTCCTGATTTCAGATCTTTATTAAAGCTAATATGATTTATTCATATTGTTTTTGCTTTTTACACACCTTTCCTCTTTCAAAAATATACAATTTCATAAAATTGCAATGTTTATTTATTTATCATATTGCTCGAGCGTTAGACAATCTGGAGTCCATACGCCTTTGTAGCCCATTACACCCATTTGGGTACTTAAAGTTGACATTATAGACAATGTTTTTATGTAAAAAACAAAATTTAAAATGCTATAATCAAAAAAAAATTAAAAAGAAAAATGTTTACTTAATTTTTTTTTTGTTTTTGATACGTTGCACATTAATGTAAAAAATTTATAAATAAAGCCCATAATAAGACGAAAGAAATACATTTTTTCATTAAGTATCGTTAAAACGTTTCCAAGATACAGCACTTTAAAGAAAGGTATGTATGACGTTTTCAAAAAGATGGCCAAAAATTAACGGTAAGTCCAAGCTTCTTCCAACTTGCACTTTATTATACTAAAACTTAATATGCTACTAAACTGCATACTCAAAACAATTCTAAAAAATCTGATTAAAATTTTTTAAATCGCATTAACATTTATTAAAATTCGTCGAACTTTAATAAATGGTCTACAAATTTTGAAATTTTTATTTAAATGCTTTTTTGTTTTTTTTGGATAGTATGTAGAGCCTTCGATTTCCCGAGATTGTTCCATTTGTATCCGTTTTGTAGCGAAGAAAAAAATATATAACACAGAGACAGGGAACTATCAAATCGAATTAAGAATGTGCTCGTAATTCACGATAGTATTTGGAAAAGCTAGAAAAGTAACTCACGGTACCATGGGAAAGCCATAGTACTGCTTTAATATCAACAAAATTCTGAAATAGGGCGTTCTTCAACCACAATCTTAAGTAGCGCGTTCTTGAGCCATTTTCAGAGATAGGCCGTTTTCTAACCGGCGATATGCTTCTATGCATTTTCAAACGTTTTGGTTATCGTTAACGACACCACTATTAATAATGTTATCGATATTCGTATCAAGATTGTTTAAATATTATATATCTATCATTATCGGTATTATTTTTTTTCTTTAATATTGTTATTGTTGCCATGCGATTCGGTTATCATTCATGTGGTACATAAATTGTGTAACACTCGATAAAGGCTGGTAATCAGTAGCAGTTTCGCTGCATAAAATCTGAAGTAAAGTCTACGTTACGATCAGTACAACGCCATTTCGCGCTGTGTTTAGTAAACAGTTTTTAATATATTTGTGAAAACTTTCTTTTTCTCCAATATGGCTCCACGTGACGCCTTGGTAACCTTGTCTCTGGTCGCCTTTTGCGGTTTCGCCCTCACTTCGGCGTCCAAGTCCTGGTGGCAGACAGCCTCGTTCTATCAAATTTATCCGCGTTCGTTCAAGGATAGTGATGGTGATGGCGTCGGTGATCTAAACGGTGTCACCAGCACGCTCCCCTACCTGAAGGAGATCGGTATTGAAGGCACTTGGCTCTCGCCATTCCTCAAATCTCCAATGGCTGATTTTGGTTACGACATCACCAACTTTACCGAAGTGGATCCACTTTTCGGCACTATGGAAGATTTGGAAGGATTAGTGGCTAAGGCGAACGAGTTGAACATCAAGATAATTTTGGACTTTGTGCCCAATCACTCAAGCGATGAGTGCGAATGGTTCATCAAGTCGGCGGCCAATGACACCGAGTACAAGGATTATTTTGTCTGGCATCCAGGCAAAGTGGTTGATGGTGTGCGGCAGGCACCAAATAATTGGATGAGTATTTTCTCCGGTTCTGCATGGACATTTCATGAAGGACGACAAGAATATTATTACCATCAGTTCGATAAGAAACAACCTGATTTTAATTTTCGCAACCCAAAAGTGCGCGAAGAGATGAAAGTAAGAGAACGTTTGTTGCTTTAAAAGGCAAAAGAAAAGATTTTAAGTATTTTATTCTTGCGTAGAATATTCTGCGTTTCTGGATGGACAAAGGAATATATGGTTTTCGCATTGATGCACTTCCACACCTTTTCGAAGTTGAGGCTGATGCGAATGGTGACCTACCTGATGAGCCTTTGGGGGGCTATAGCCCTGATCCAGAGGATTATGGCTACTTGAATCATATTTACACAGTCGATCGGCCAGAGACTGCTCATGTGTTGTATGAGTGGCGTCAAATTTTGAAGGATTATCAAGTCGAACATGGAGGCGAAGAGCGGTATGTGGGTAGTGTAGTGATTGCTAGATGAATCTGTTCAAAGTTCGCTTCTCCTTATCTCTTAGTATTTTAATGGCTGAAACCTGGTCACCAATTACCAGCGTCATTGAATACTATGGTAATGAAACTGCAGACGGCAGTCAAATACCCTTTAATTTAATGATGATTTCTAGACTGGAAAAGGAATCCGATGCCAATCATTATGCCAGTGTGATCAATACTTGGTTCGAGTACATGCCAGTGGGCAAAACGCCCAACTGGGTGGTATGCCAATTTGTTTGACATTTTATTCGGAAGAAGTATTTATTTTGAATCAAGCCTTTCTTCTGCAGATCGGAAATCACGACAAGAGTCGCGTTGGTTCACGTCTCGGTGAAGAGCGCATCGATATCTTGAATGTTCTTTTGCTCACACTACCCGGCTGCAGCGTCACTTTCAATGGCGAAGAAATAGGCATGACTGACGTGTGGATCTCCTGGCAGGATACTGTCGATCCACAGGCCTGCAACAGCAGAGAAGAAGGCTATGAAGCGCGCACTCGCGACCCCTCACGCACACCCTTCCAGTGGAGTGACGCAGAGAATGCCGGTTTTACATTGGGGAACAAAACATGGCTACCGCTCTCCACGACGTACAAACGATACAATGTGAAACGTGAGCGTGGTATAGCTCTAAGTCATTTGAATATTTTCAAGAAAATGCAGGAATTTAGACGATTGTCAACATTCCAAGATGGCGACACAGAAGTGATAGCACTCAACGATCACGTGCTGGCAGTCAAGCGGTGAGTACTCAAGAACTAATGGGGGGGGGGGGGGGATTTTTGGAGAGTCTGTGCGGTCTCGAAACTATTGAGTGCCACAGTCGACGGACATTTCGTTCACCTTAAAATTCCTAATATATATGTATGTATGTTAGTAAGCTCTTGTCGAAGCTTTTTTATTAAGAATTTATTTATTAATATTTCCTAACAGCTCGTTAAGCGGTGACTTCACTTACATCACGCTCCTGAATATTTTTGGTCAGTTGGAGCACGTCAACTTGCATGAACACTTCGCTGACCTGCCGGCAGTATTTAAATACGCCTTGATTACGGACCGCTCTATTAAGAAGCAAGGGTGAGGCATTGACCAAGAAGTATTTCAAAAACATTTAGTATTTACGTATTTT